CACCGCCGCCACCAGCACTTCCACCGGACCCAGATCCAGAACCCTTAGCTCCACCTGAGTTTGATTACAACGATGAACTAAATAACGACGAACCAATGAACGAGACAGCGGTTACAATGCCTACTACAGTTAATCTCGAAAACGATGGACAAAACATGGCCCAAGAAACATCGCGAACGAAGCGCAAAGCAGCAGTCGAAGCGCGAGACAAAATATTTTGCCAAACGCGCTTCAGCAACGATGTGAGATACCATCCAATACCCAGCCGCCCAAAACAACCGCGAAAGTATGGACTCCGAACCGTTGACGGACACGAAGTGGCCCCAGTTACATTCATTCCACGATCAACGCAGAAGGACAATAAAGCAAATATACGAAAGAAAGCGGAGGAGGCGAATGAAGACTTTCCTCTACGAGAGGCGAAAAGGAACATTATTAAGGACAGCGTGAAGCGAGCGAAACAAATGACTAAACGAAAAGATGGGCCCAGCAGCAGCAAAGATTCGGTAAATGCAATATATGAACCAAATATCTTTGTGGGATCAGGGGATGTTTTACAATTCCCTGGCTCTATAGCTCACTGCGTCTCAAGTGACTTTCAAATGGCAAAAGGAATAGCACAGCAGATCAGCAGTGCCTACCCATGCATCAAACCAACCCTAAAAAGCATTGAGACACCGATAGTTGGATCATCAGTTTCAGTTTCTTTGCCTTGGGAAAACAAATCAATTTTCAATTTAGTCACTAAACCACAATTTTTTGATAAGCCAACCTACTACGATTTGTCACGAAGCCTCAACTGCATGAAGCAACAGCTCTTGCAGAAAGGAATAAATGCGATAGCCATGCCAAAAATTGGATGTGGACTCGACAAATTGAAAGAAAGTAGAGTTTTCAGCATAATTTGCGACATTTTCGCAAAAACGAACATCAAAATTTTCATTTACATATGAAACAATGTCACGATATCGCGCCCTATTGTTCATGCATTCATTACAACGCTTTCTAGCTCCAACAGCAACCAGCTGATGATGCAAAACTCAAAAAAGACGAAGTTGAGTCGGAAAAAAGGCAAAATTTCGAGAAAACGTCTTCTTTCAAATTCGAGATATTCCGAAAAACTGACGCCAAGGACACTATGTACGTGGTATAACGATCTCATACTCGTGGATCATCATTGCAGCACCCTACGGACATGTGCACGAGGCTGGCTCACTAGGAGAAGTCAACTTCATAGAGATCTCAAAAAATGCACGAAAACCCCATGTATTAACATTAGGGATAACACGTTTTTTTGATCCCTCAAAAAATTTTATGAAAGGATCACCCAAACTTTCACCGGTTATCATCATTGCAGCACCCTACGGACACGTGCACAAAGCCGGCTCACTAGCAGAAGTCAACTTCCCTGAGATCTCAAAAAATGCACGAAATCCCCATGTATTAACATAGGGAATAAAAAAACTTTGGGACCCCAGAAAAATTTCAGAAGAAGAAGTTTTAAATTAGTACCGCCGATGACATCTGTAGCACCAATGAGGAGCCTGCAGAAGCGCAGCGCAGGAGGAAATGCATAGAACTCGAGATATCAAAAAACACCTCAACCTCCCATGTATTAAGATCACGAATAAAAAAGTTTCGAGCACCCCGACAACTCAGTGATCGAATCTCGAAAATTTTGACACCAGTGAGCTCTCTAGCACCAATGAGGAGGATCTTGAAACCCGGCGGAGGAAGAATTGTTTAAAAGCCGAGATCTCAAAAATCACCCTCTCCGGCCATGTATTAAGATGGGGAATAAAAAATTCTCACGTCCCCCATCAAACTTCTGAATGGATTTTGAAAATTTCACTACCAATGATCCCAGGACCAACAATAAGGAGGCTCCAGAAGCTCGGCGGAGGAGGAAATGTGTACATCTCGAGATACGAAAAATCACCCTCACCGCCCATGTTTAAGCATTACGAATAAAAAAGTTTTTCGTCCCCCATCAACGAGTCGAAGGAAATTCAAAAAATTTGGGCTCATTAATCTTCAAATCACCAATGACGAACAGGCACGAAGTTGGTCCACTACCAGACCAAAATTTGGTGACATACATCAATTCTCAACATTCCCATGTATTAGTATAGGAAAAACAAGAAAAATAACTTTCGAGGGATATCTTTGCAGAAATGCGGAAAGAAAACACTCAAATGCGCCAGCAAAGATCCAACGGAATTGTTAGCACAACCCTGAAAGGTTACAAGCAATGCTGAAAAACAACACGCGAACTTGAAAAGCTAATTAGATCATCATAAATATCAACAAATTTGATGAAAAACTGAAATTCATCAATTTTAATTCTCACTGATGTCAAATTTTGCTCAGGCGAACCAGCAATTTGCCTGAATAGCCTATAGGAGTGAAGTGCAGCTACAGTAGAAGAAACGAATTGAAAACACGAAAAGCCAGACACTGCACAAAATACAATGATTGCGACCAATGCAAAACATCGTTGAAACGTGTAATTTTGATTTTTTCAAATAAAAAAGTCGCTCACCTTCATTCAGGGTGTCAGGCCACCAGAGGCACAAAATACCCAAAAGGAGAAGATGACAATACTTCTTAACAATCAGATGATATCTGAAACACACAGTAGCAACTTTTAAGCACGTACAACAAAGTACAAATAGCTTTATAAACTGTCAACTTCAACAAAAAGTGAACAATTCGACAAAACAGATAACTGTGAAATTGTTGGACATCTATTCGCAATTGAAGAGGCCACGAAAAGACTGAAGTGACCTCATTTGAAAAGTTAACAACTAATTCGAGCACCAATGGAACAAATGAAATGACTAGTAACAAACAACGAAAGAAGAGAAAAACGACGAAACGACGAAAAATAGTTTGCTACACGACACTACAGTACTTGCCGTGCAAATTTAGTTACAGTTGATAACTGACAATATCATGGTATCATCAAATTGACCCTATCATCTATCACTTAACTCCCTTAACCCGACTCAATGTGGCTTCCTATCCCCATTAAAATATTTCCCATTTAAACTCAATTGAATTCTCTTTCACATAATGTAAATTGAAGTAATAACCTGTGCTTCTAAACCAATGAATGTTAATTTTTTTTGTGATAACTTGATAGTTCAATTACTCATTTTCCTGTAGCAGTATATATTTTGTCAATTTTATTGTAAATTTTCAAACTCAATTATTTTAACTGTAAACAGTCAAAAACTTAAAACCACCCGGGAAGATTTCTTCTTGTGAGGTAGTGTGACATCACTACATGACGTCATGCATTCTTATGCTATATTAGATTTCATAATTAACCTTGTTAATGAAATGAAGTTCATACATTTATATTTATTTAATTATGTAAATATTGATGGTAATTAATACCAACCAGAGGAGATTTATACCGAGCTACTAATCAATTGGGTAGATTCGAACAGAATAAAATATTACAATCATGCTCTAACTTGCGTCGATCGACTAGCGATATCCCAGAAGTTAAGAACCGAATCCTGCGTCCTTAAAAGCAAGATAAGTCTTAACCGCTCGAGACAAATAAATTATGAATACAATTCAATAATAATTGATAGCCAGTAGCGCTAATTACTATCCGAACAGTTTACAACATTATTAATAAACGACGATATAGCTGTCCACAGCCATCCGAAGGGACACTATATCACAGGGAACACTTTTAATGAACATTTTTATTTGCTAGTTAGGTTAGAAAAGAAGAAGGTCCGTACTAAAACACTAACGCTCATAAGCTCGCTAGTGTAAACTTATAATAGATGAAAATACATGAATAATAGACAGATTGTAATAAAATAACGCTGGAATTTCAAACATTGCCAACTAACAGTTGGAAAAGAGTAATGAACGCAAGGAAACTGAAAAAAAAACTGACTTGATTTTTTCAAGAGCCTTGAACTTTTGAATTTCGAAGAAACAAATAGATGGCAGTAGAGCTCTTTCTTGTAGAAATATTTAATATGGACACTTTTTTGTTAAAACTAACCCATTTTGAGAAAACTGGATCAATACGTAAAACTTTTATTTCGCTAGGAAATCTGGTAATTAATTTCCATTTTCGTGACCTTTACACTTTTGCTATTCAATAATGAAATTTGCGTTCCTTTTAATTTTAACAATGCAAATGCACTGAACTTTAAAAAAAATCACAAGTCGAACCGCGAAAAATCAAAACTGAGGGTGAACAAAGTTTAAGACTTTTTCCTTAAAAAAAAATCAGCAAAACCTATACAAGAGTATCCACTACGTTCGTCTCTTAAAAACAATGCGTAGTTCAATTAACAGATTCCAACTTAGCCTATTCTAGTTCTAAGGTTGTCAGTGGGTGCCCTATGCGCGTCGCCGCAATAACCATATCTAATATTTCTATAGGTTCTTACTCTCAGTTGAATAGCTAGTGAAAACTGCAAACAGCCTTTATTCGACCAGGAGGCGGAGCAATAAGTAGAATGTTCTAAGAGAAGAAAGGGTCCAGAAGCAGAAAAGCATTTACTTTATTATGCTAATTGACAATATTATTATTAAGCTATTAGAATTGACAATATTACCCAAGAAACGAAAAAATTATGCAAAAACTGAAAAAATTGATCGAGTTTTTTTGAAACTCAATATAAAAAACTTAATAGAACTACTCAATTGATGTGTAATTTATTCATTTCTTGGGCAGTATTGTTGATTCTAATAATTAATTTAACCGATTAGCCCTTATAAATCAAAATTTGTCGGTTTTCATGCTATTGGATCATTTTGCTCTGACCGGTCACCATTCGACCACCATAGCATCTATTAAACGAACCGTAGAAATGGTATTTTTGACCTACTTTTAAAAGAATGTTGGATTTTTGCCCTAGTAAAGCTGTTTATAAGATAATTGTATCACTTATTGATTTTTCGGATGTTCGACATATCGGATGTTTACACGGTACACGTAAAATATATAGAACAATATATACCTTTCTAGAAAGATCTCAGTGTTCCTGCTAAATATAACAAAGACAGAAAATATAAGCAGTGCAAAAAATATGTAGGGTTTGTTTTCGTCGAAAAAACGAAAGCATCCCTTCCGAGCTGTTATAAGGCATCTTGAAGTTGGCGAAGAATTTGCATCTTTCTCACGCGAATGAATACATGAACAGCACATAACTTGAACTTGGGTTCTTGTATCATTCAATGCACTAGGACTATTGCTGATATTACTTCCCAGTCCTGTCCCAAGAAAGCCATTGTGGCCTGAAAATTTGAACTACAACAAATTTTCCACAGAATTTTACACAGATTGTGTAAAAATTTTACACAATTGAAACATTGGTGCAGCCCCATTTGTACCAAAATGAGAAATCGGTCCAATTTGTACCAAAATTATTCAACTCGATTTTTGATTGGTCGAATTGTGAGCCAACGAATTAATTCATTAATTTTCTACAGTTCAAACAGAAGAGAACTAAACAGCAGGATAGTGGCCACCGCAGTCGCGCCAACGTGCTGCGAGCTAGCCAACACAGGGTAGGACGCTTTACGAAAATTAGAGCCGGTTATCGTCGCGTAGCAAAGATGCGTGTGTAGCGCGCTCACCGGTGACCTTAAACCAAGAGCGCAAAATATTCGGCTTAGTCTTTGGCCCATTGAAAATTTTTGTTACATAATGAAGATAAAAATCATCATCTGTAACATTCGCCCGGAAGTACAAATCGACGGAAAGGTGCATACCCACGGAGCCGCATTCCCGGATAGCCGAAAAAACTAAATACCTCCGATTTTATTTAAATTAAATGAGAAAATTTTGAGACGCATTCTGATTGGACAAAATGCGCAGCCTGTTATAGCTAACAAAATTCCGAACATTTTTAAGAGATTTGATTGGTTAATACTTTTGCTCTCATTTAATTAATTAATAGCAAAAGTCCGACTACTACAGGGATTTGACCCCCTCAACAACCAAAGGGTCCCTCTTTGGTATGTTTTATGGTATCCATTTTCGGCCGAGAAACCCTAAAAATTTTCAGTATATGCTAATTTTAAAGGGGAGCACGCGCTGAAAAACGGAAATTTTTGGCCGAAATTTTTTCAAAAAATCCCAAAAACGGGGGGGGGGGGCATGGTGTGGGTAAATGTGGATAGTCACAGGAAGTAATTGGGAGGGGGAAGGGAATGGGAAGGAAGAATGATCGGACTAAGTGTGTGTGGGGGGGGGGGGGGGATGGGTAGAGAAAGGGTACCGAAACAAAGGGTAGAGAAAGGGTAATGAAAACAATGAAAAGAAGGTTTTTAAGTAAGTTTGTAGAATCTCTTTCACCCCTATGGTACATAGTAACGAATCTTTCCCCCCTCCCCAATTAAGAAATGGGTAAGGGGTCAGAAGGGAGGTAATTGCTAAGACCGAAAATTTTGACGGTCATCATGTTAAAAAAGAATAACACCCAGGAGCGCCATAAAAACATCCATGTAACAATCGCCCGGAAGTAAATATCGACGGAAAATAAAGCTAAGCTATAAAACGACTGGCCAGCGTCTAAACTAAGCTCTGATTGTTTTTCACCGTCTCTACCAAAGCCAGTTCTTTTGGTGGTCTTTCTAACATCGGGTCGACAAAAACGTTAATGTTTCCGGCTTCGGTCAAAACACTCAAATTAACTTATGTGCCAGTCGGTCATATTTGGAATGTAACATTCGCCCAAATATCACACAGCGACGGAGCGTAGAAAAAGTACCTATTAACGACTGGCAGGCGTCAGTTACCTTAATCCTACTCGTTTTTCACCGTCTCGACCTTGCCAGTTGACTTTCTGGTCTGTCTAGGGCAAAGTAAAAAGTTACCATTTTTAGGCCATCAGTCAAACGACTTTTGATCAGCTTTCGTTTACATGCGAACACAACCACATAGCTGAGTCTCGGATCCTCAGACTACGTGATTGTCATTAAAAACACGGCTCGAACAACCTATCTTAACATGTTTTTGTGTGACAGTTCTATATTAAATCCATTAGAGATGGATTGACCCTTTCCTTTTTCTAGCTACTCATGCTCTGAAATATTAAATAATAACGGTGTTAATTAAGATCTATGACATTATAGCAGCTATACAGTCAGTCTATACAGTCCCTTCACATAGACAGTCTCTGGGGGACCAAGCCTCCGCTCCCGTAATATTCTTGAGATAACACTCTTATCTCTTATATTTCGTGTCTCGGGAGGGTTCCGTGGTATATTTCTTCCCCCACTGAAGCCTCCTTCTCCACAAATATCCGTCGCTAAGGTTCTTATCGTGTGTTATTGCCACGATAAGAGGCTTCGTAATTTTCTTGTCTCTGGTACGACTGTTCTTCACAATATCTGTCGTTGTTCTGTCTTTCGTCTTTTTTATTCAAAATGGCCGTCTTTTTTCTATTTCTCAGAAATGTTCATTCTTCAATCGAAATTTTAAAAATAAAAATTCTAGAACATTCTGACCCTCCTTCGCAACACTTTTTTGTTCATAAGACCTTTAGTCGTTCTTTTTTACGTCGCCGGAAGGTTGTGCTGTGTCATCTGGCAGAATGGCACATACTCCCCGGACAAGTCTCCATCAATGTCCCTATTGATCGCATAACACCGGGTTATCGTCAAGTAGTTATCCAGTTTTCTGTAATCAATCTTACAAATTGCATAAGAAAATGAAATTTATCTACTCCACCTCAACTCACTACGTGTTCACAAATGGCATCGTACTACATCTCACTGCCTTTCAACATTTTCACAAAATTTGCACCATGAGGAGTGTCCCAGATAAAATTTCTTTTCTGACTACTTACGTCGTCTTGCCATAAAACTTCTTTTCGCTCTTTGTGATTAAAAAGTGGGACGTGGCACGGCCACGCACCCGTTAAAACTAACTTAACATTACTCACCAAGTATAATCAGTTATTTATGCGGTCCTTTCAATATTAAAACTAAGAAACTCTGTGGCTAGGAAAGTTCTTGAGTTACCCACCCTTCCAGAGCGAGTTTACTCAAACTTACCATGTCGCCACACAGTGAATTTGTGTCTTACACAGGTTAAAAACTTCAGTCGTGAATAAATATGTAAATATACTCACCTAGATTCCTCATATACATACATAAATAGCCATAACTAAAATCAAGAATTTCAACAATTTTAACAATTGCAACATTATAGTTTGGTCTGACCAAACTAGATCAATACAAAAAGTTTCACAAGTTCAATAATCAAAACTTGGTTGATTGGTTTAAGTTTTAGCACACAAATACAATCAAGTTTTCTCTCCTTCTCTTCTCTTCTTTGGTCATCTTCATTCCATCACTTCTCCATCTTGATCTTCGCTGTCTTCCAACACTTTCTCCAGCATGTCCATGGAGTTGCGGGCCGTGCCCCAACTCTCCTGTTCCAACAGCCTCGGTTTGCAACAAGGTAGCAAGTCCACATTCACCTTCTGCTCCCGGTTCTTGCAAAAGCTGTTGTGAAGACATAGGCTCACGTTTCGTTCTAGGTCAGCTCTTAAGACCTCTTTCTTCTCATCTTCAGTAACACAAGGCGCTCCAGCTACCCGCTTCACCGCTGTGGTGACCGCGTTTCTGTGCGTCAAGAATGCTCTCTCATAGGCTCCTGGTCCTATACCTAGCTGGAAAGATTGATAGGCTTCCGTGTTCCTCGACATGTGACGCTTCGCGCGTTCATACATCCATGATGTCGTCACTGCCCGGAACCAAGGCATCAATCTTTGCCTTGACCATATTCTTTCAATGGCTTTAGGTATCCTCAGAACCTTGCAGGTGGTTCTAAAAAGATCCAATTCACGACTCATCTTCACGTTGCTCAGCTGCTCAGGAGTCGGCACGGCCGTCTCCTGCTGACTTGTGTCCACGTTAGCCTCCAACCATCTCACTGCTAGCATGGCGCTAACCACCACGATTGACAACCCCGTGGAGTACAACTCCTCCACGTCCCATACTAGGATCAGATTCCCGCGTTTGGGGTACCACAACGTCTGCGCCAAGCAGTGGCAAGGATACTCCCCATGGGTCCTCACTATGTTCCTTCGGGTCCGATACCCTGAGGCTCCCAGCAACGGTTCCACTTCCATCAGGATTCTATGTAAATCGTCTTTCTCTTCTATGGTGGGGAATTCAGTGGGTAAGGCTCCACTCGCTTTCTGTTTCTCGAACTCACTCACATTGCCTTCGTTCAGTCTCATGAACTCTTCACCCACAACGTCTTGCAACTCGCCTTCGGATCTCTTCGGGACTGCCCGAAAGATCTTTGCCAACAAGTCATAGGACCTTTCCGACATTCTGGCCAACCTCACGCACTTTGCCACAGAGAAAAGTTGGTCAACCAATACTTGTTGCGTCCTCGCATCCATTACCACCATGTGCGTAGGATACTTGCTATTACAGTATGGCGCGGAGCTTGAACCCACCATATATTTTGAACCAGTAGGTCTGTGATAGGCTTCACTATCCTTCAGATTCATTTCATTTTCTAGAGCTTCTCGCCAGCCTCCAATCTTCTGCTCTGTTTGTAATGCTCCAGGGAATATTTCCACGCTGAGGGACGTCACTAGCTCATGGGCACGCTCCAGGCGCTCGAGTGATTCTATCGAACTCGTCATGCTACAAAATCCCAAGGCTGTGATCAGGTTCACGTCCGTCACCCCATGGCAGTCTGCAACCAACTCCATGGCACTCTTATCTGACATGCTCAACCTTCCATACAATCGTGCCAGTTGTCGATGCTGCTCGCTCAGCGTAATCAGGCAGTGTCCCAAGTTGCAAACATGCCCTTCCATCCTACTTTGTTGAGCCAAGCATGTGCCTTGCTTCAACCAATCGCTCGATGGACTTTCCTCAGGCAGCTCCGTGGATGGATTGCTCTTCCGCTTCGTCGACTTCATGGCCAGCAGATGGTGTATCATGGCCAGATCATGTAAACTCGCATCATCATCTAGGTCTAACGTAATATCCGACTTCATGTCCCAGATTAAACCGGCATTAGGATGAGGGCACCAAGAAGGCTTCATGAGTTCCCACATCGTCACTAGACTGGTTTTCAAGGGACCGTCCCAAGAACCACAATCAAAACTCACTTGCCCCTTTAGCTCGGAAACCGAGGGTTCGACCACTCGTTCTTCCAAAATAATTCCCAGCTTGGGTTGTTCCACCATCAGCATCCCAGTTTCTTTAATACGTTCGACCCAGAAATTGAGTACCATGACTTGCTCATAGTCGAAGTACGCTTCCCTGGCT